AATTCCCATTTGTTATCTTGGTGGAGGACTCAGGAAGGATTGAAGAGTATCCATGGAGTGATTTTAGAGTGCATCCAACTTCTTCCACCAACCACCAACTACGCGTAGGTCGGCATTGCCACTGTTGTAACCACGGTTGGAGGTGAGATTAATGTACAAATATTTGAACTTATTTGTTTAGAATCAAATCTTTTGGATTTAGTTAATTATCTCTTTAGATTTTGGCATAAATCTCATAGTTAGAAAATAATTTTGTTAGCAGTTGTTGCTGGTACGCGGTTGCGTGGGACTGCTGCAGAATGCAGATGCCATGGAATATTATTATAACATATACGCCTTGGGGTAGCTATCAAGTTTGTCGTGTTATTATGCAACCATAACCACCTAATCAAATTGTTTATGTTTAATATAATACACAAATACTAATTCAAAGAGTAAAGAATCTAATAATTCCATCGCAATGTCCTATCTTTTGTTAGCAGCCAAAGGTCAATGATATGTGCGAAACGTGGACTACAGTCTTTTGCAATTTAGACTCTTATTAGTGTAACATTATTAACAAAGTTTGACTTAATTAGTTAAGACCAGGAGGCTACAGGACTAAACAGAATCGTGAAAATTCTTTAGCATTATATTTAGTAGACGTGTTAAGATCATAGAAGAGTAATAACTATGTTATTTCTTAATAATTTTTCTTTGTTTTTGTTTCTTTTGGTTTTTTTGTTTTTTTTTTGTATAGATCGAAAGTCAGCAAACAACTCTCAAATTATACACCATTAGATGGATCATCAGTTTAATTAAAATATATTCATCCAAACTTCAACTCTCAAGAGAAGCATATTCAAAAGATATTATACATTTTCTTGTGACAAACCCTTATGGGTCTACTTCTTTTTGCTCCTAATTAATTTTTATATCATATCCCATGAACCGTTTATTTGGTTTTTGTAGGACCCTGTTCCTTTGTTAATTTTCATGGGTTTTAGTTTTATATATTTTTACTTAAACAGATTGAAAATATAAACATATGCCAAGTATCATCACCTAATTTCGACACATACATATGGAGCAATTATTTTTTAAGGCATGCATGATTCTCAATAAACAAAATTATAGCAAATTTGGGTTTCGCAAGTAAATATTATCATAATTTGGATTTAATAATAAATAATTACCTCTCCAAATAGGTTTAATACATGAATACTTTCACTCAGTACACATTCACAGGATTTAACAAGCAATCGATATTTCATGATCAAGAATGTGATACTATTTGTAGTAGTACAATTCCACATCCATTCACTGTTCCTGGTACACAATAATATCAATTGCCTAAACCCTAATCTCAAAAATATGTACCGACATCGAATGGAAAAAAACCCCATAAGAATATCATAAAATAAATTAAAATCAGAATCATATGGAGGCCTCCCATGGCCAATTTGAGCATGCAAGCCCATAACAGAAAAAACCATGTCAATATTTTGACTTAATGCTAGCTACCATTACTATGCATAAAACAAATCCGCATGATACCGCATGCACTACGCAGAAAAACATAAGCCAAAAATGCAAGAGATATGGTGCTAAATTTCCTGCATTGTCGGCATTGAATGGCGCAGCCGCCCAAGGAAGAAAAAAAGTCCATGTAGGGCACAATGTCAACAAAACAACCCTTAAATAATTTACCCATGTCAGCTGCTCAGGTATCTTCATTAGACAAGATTTATCTGCCTCCATGGCCAAAAAAGTTTATTGTCTGACCATACATCATAAAGTTTCAGCACATGAAAAGAAAATAATATATATATATATATGTGTGTGTACCCTTATTTTCACCATACATCATAAAGTTTCAGCACATGAAAAGAAAATAATATATGTGTGTGTGTACCCTTATTTTCACCTTTTTTTTTTTTGCCGAAATCCTTATCTTTACATATTTAAATAAGCATTTTCTTCGTGACATTTATTAATTAATGGGAACACTTCTATGATTTGGTCTAGCTAGTAGAATGGTGTGACTCATAAGATATGAATGCCATTTAATAATATTCCATTTGCATGCGACCAATTAAATTTCCTTCATAAAAGAAATTGAGAGAGAGCAAAAATTGCAAATACCATTTGACAAATGATATATGACAAAGGGGTGTGTTATCCACACACTCCATTTTACTTCTTACACATCCTTGATAATTTATGTCCGTTGATATTTTTCAATTCATCCGATCCAACGGTCGAAAATTAAAAAAATGTGTGAGAAGTAAAATGGGATGTGTGAATATCACATCCCTATGACAAATTGTTGTACTATTTCTCATGTTTGTCAGGTCCATAGATCCGTCAATAAAATGACTAGGGACTTCAGAGTACAAAACGTACAACTAAAACGTGCCATATCGAGTCATAGCTGTTAAAAGGGGAATTGTACATGTGGTTAGTCCAAGTTGTACTGGCTGTGAGAAAATAACCTTAAAATTTTGAAAACTGATCTTTGAGCTGTATATATTTGACAATTGAAGAAAAAGCTACCATATATTTTGAACGGTATATTGTTTATTGCCAAATGCAACCCTTTAAATTAAATTAAACTTGTGGTATTACTATTTTCAATGATCTTATGATCGTTTTACTATTTGGTAATTTTATCCTGGAGTCTCTCTGTTTCCTGTGTGCACACGTCAGTTTGCTCTACCTTCCCAGAGCATCGAAAACTCTCAGTCAATATTTTGCAACTTTCTGTTTCAGCATGCATGCATGGCCAAAATATTCAAGAATAATAATGCATATTCTCAGCAGCTTTGCTTTCCGGAATTATCATCTACGAGCGGAAAGTTGTCATTTCTTCGAAATATGATCGTCTTGAATTCTTATTAGAGAGGTTCAGACCTTAATTAATCGAAGAAATTAGTTGCTTTTCAAAAGTAAGAGTAAAAAGCTCAATAAAATTATAAACTTGCATCGTATTGTGATTTACAAGTGTGAGACTTTTGAATTAAAAAATGGTTCCCGTTTTTCTTCTCTAAGATATCCTTCAATCAAAGTTCCACGTAAAAAGGAAAAACCTTGTCACTTTGATATTTTTCTTGCGTTATGATCAGGGACCACTTGGATCTTGCTCTTGAGCTTCACGGCTTTGACTTTGCCCACCTATCCCTGATCTCCCACCTCCCCAAGTTCTGAGAAATTTTTAGTTGTGACGGAAACACGGATAATACATCACATATTTTTATATAAGTGGTGAGAAATTTTATTTTTTATATTATTAACTTTTTAAAACATATATATATCCCACCATTTATTTAACGAAACATGATGTACCGCTGAAAAATCTCTCCCAAGTCCCAAAGCTTCAGCCCTCATAAAACAAATGGCTTGGCTGCAGGTCAAGCCGGGAGAATGTCATGGCCCATGCTTTTCACAACCTTCACTTTTATATTTTTCTTTCTGTTAATACCTAAATAAATAAATGGTATAGATTTTGGTTCAGTAGATTGTATTCACATCTCAGCTAAAAGTGTAATTCTCCTCAAGTAGGAACTTCCTTGCAATGCCTTTAAATTAGAGGCATATTATTGTGCACCTAAGAAGGAGGTGCTGTGTCACCAACAAGGATTGGCCTTCACTATGATAGTCATGGTTGTTGTTTTTTTCTAAGGAAAATGCTTTAAATTTCAAGGAAATGAAAAAAGATGTTTTGGGAATATATTAGGCTCTATTGAAAAAGTTTAGCCTTCAATTAAAATTGGGTTGAGTTATGAAGAGGAAGAGCAAATGAATTTAGGTGTGAAAGAAAGTTGCCTTTAAGTGTTAAGCACAAGAGCAGATTATTATAAGACCAACATAAAATAATGAGTTAATTATCCTTGCAACTTGAACGCCTTAATTCACTTTTAATTGAATTCATCACGAGCATAATCAAAAGATTGTATAAGTACTTAATGAACTTTTTTTTCTTTTTTTTTATAGAAAACTTACGATATTCATTAATAAGAAATAGATACGTACATCAATGAGAATTGGTGCTAACAAGGGTGTGTGTGTGTATTGCTTTTTTAAAATAAGAAACTTGTCATCGAAGAGCATTTATTTGATATTTTAATAGTTTAAATTCTATATATACTTTTCAAATCTTTACATATTCTACCTCTATTTATTAACAACTGACTTTCCCACACATTTTTTATGCGCTTCTGTCCTTTATCTTAATTCGTTAATTTTTAATTTATTTAATTTAAAATTTAAATTAAAAAAATGTACAAAACGAAAAAGATGAGAATGCGAAAATAAGATATCTTGAAAAAATTACTCTTATAACTTATAAATTTACAGGGAGCCGCGAGTGACAGCTGATTATAATTGAGCCAGGCCGAGGTGCATTAAATGGGAGGAAAGGTGTTGGTATTTGACGGTGCATGTGTTTTCATGAAGTGAAAATTACCAAGATAAGGAAGGAAACATGGCCGGCGGCTTTTAGCTCACACCCACCAAACCAAGCCTCCATTCCTCCACGCGGCCTCCTCTCACATTCTCTGTAGTCTCCCGCGGAATGGGAACATTTTTGAATCCCTTTCTCTTAATCCATCAAATCAGGAGATTCGTGTCGTTGAAAATTGATTCAACAGTTAAAGTTATTATAATTTTTAAAATAGATCCTTATTTGTAGTCGTTTAATCAAATTTCAACGGCATAAATTCTCTAATTTAATTAATTAGGAAGAAATCATCCGGAGAGGAATCATTTCCGTCTCCAAAATAGCATGAAATGACATATTGCCACAATTTCCTCTGACCAACCTGACTCTCTCTTCCAACTTGATCTTGACTTGGCCACCTCCTCGTGGACTGTGCTACCTTGAACCCCAAGTTCCTCTTTTTCTCTCTCTCGCCGCCACGCGGTACACGAACTTCCTCACTCACCCTCTGCTATAAATATACACGGCCTAACCCAATGAAACCAAGCCCCCATCAGCATTTCTCCAACCTGCACAAAACCCACAATCCCAAATCTCTCTCTCTCTCTCTCTCTCTCTCTCTCTCTCTCTCTCTCCATTCTTCACTGCTATGCCTCGTCTGAGCGCTTTCGCACTCATTTTCTTAGTGGTAATGGCCTCATTTGTGTCAACTCTGGAAAGCAGAAAGCTCTTGGATGTAAAGAAGGACGATGCCGAGTACAAGAAGAAAGAGGCTTCTCTGTTTCTAAGTGCCCTTCCGAAGGGCAACGTGCCTGCTTCTACCCCAAGCAAGAAGGGTCACGCCGTCGTCGTCAACGAAAAGCTCATCGCACGCCATCTTAGCGGCGAACCAAATCGGATTCTGGCGCAGTCTGTTCCAAGCCCCGGCGTCGGCCATTGATTAGTATCAGTTATATATTCGCAATAACTATTCGTATTTTTTTTCATTGACTGTTAGATCTCTATAGTCACTACAGTTTTGGAATTTTTTTAATTTTTAATTTTTATAGTGGAGTGGTTAGGTATAGAATTTAAAGAGTTGAAGAGAACTGTATAGACAGTATATTGTTGGGATTCATTTTTATAATCTGCATCCCTTTAGATATTATAAAGACGGTGCTTGTACTGTTTTACAAGACCTTATTGTACCATTGTTCATATTCTTTATTATATGTGGTTGCCCTTTTTTCTTTTTGTTTAATGTTATGTCCTCTCAACTTTGAAAAATAGGGAAAGGGATCCGGAGCCACCAAATTCATCAATCCGGACTATTGAAATTTGATCGAACGGTTAAAGTTATTAAACGCTTAGAGGGGACCCCTGTGTTTAGTCGTTAGATTAAATTTCAAGGGTCCGGATTGATGAAGTTTGTGGATTTAGAGGGATCCAGAGAGAATCCTTGTCCAGAAAATAGTTATGCGAATTTTAAAGAGAAAATATAAGAATGATATAAAAGTAAAAGGTAAGAGAGGAAAAAGGATTATTGTCCATTCTTGAGTGAGGACTGAGCATTTCAGAACCTTCGCTTGCATTTGGTTAAATTTGGCATCTCCTAATTAAGAGCTCTCCAAATTCTTGATGATTCCATAAGCTATAATTTTTTTTTCTTAAGTGGGTGATGGAGCTTCTAACGTCAATTGTTCATCTAAGTAGCAAAAAGTGCTGACCATTTGGAACATTTTGGCCTTTGCTAAAGTTCTACAAATAGATCATCACCCAAAAAGCAAAGATCCTAAAAGAGAGATTTTCTTTTATATTAATTGGCTGGGAATATCACTCAGTACTACGATCTGATGATATTTCTCTTCACTTATAAGTGAGAGGTTTTAGGTTCGAATCTCATGGATGACGAATTCGATATCAAATTAGGCTACTTACTGTATGGCTTTGCCAAACTCTCCATCTCCTTCAAAATATCGATGTAAAGGAAGGGAAAAAATAAAAAGGAAAAAGAAGAAAAAAAGGGAAAAAAGGGAGGGAAAAAACTCTCCATCTCCTTCAAAATATCGATGTAATATCGATGTAAAGGAAGGGAAAAAATAAAAAGGAAAAAGAAGAAAAAAAGGGAAAAAAGGGAGGAAAAAACACTCCATCTCCTTCAAAATATCGATGTATCGATGTAAAGGAAGGGAAAAAATAAAAAGGAAAAAGAAGAAAAAAAGGGAAAAAAGGGAGGAAAAAAACTCTCCATCTCCTTCAAAATATCGATGTAAAGGAAGGGAAAAAATAAAAAGGAAAAAGAAGAAAAAAAGGGAAAAAAGGGAGGAAAAAAAAACACAAAGGGGGTTTGAACCCCTCCCATTCTACTCCTCCAACACCTTAACCACGATATATCACTTATGTTTTAGTGATAATATGCTAAAATATTTATATTTATATGAGTGGCATGTTAACAATTACATGCAAAACTATTTTGGGGATTTATCATTTGATGAATACTCTTCACAATAAACTTACTCTACACATAGAGATGATGAAGATGGTGAAAAATTTGAACCTCATAGGAACTTTATGTGGTACTAAATCACTCATGTATCTTACCATGCAATGTATAAAGTGTAAAATATTGTAGTAAATCATTATATATAAATGATTATGGTGTGTTTAATCTTTTTTTATTAGTTACTACATATTTTCTACACTCATAGTGTTTGCCAGCTCGCTGTATAATCAACTTAAATCAGTTAAATCCATCATGTAATGCATTTCCTTCTATTTTTTTTTATAAACTAATAGATAATAAACATTCTCCAAAGTTTCAATAAAAATTTCCAAGTTTTTCTTACAATTTCCGTGGTTTTTATTCAATTTTTATCGATATCGATAATATCCCGATATTTCCATCGAAATTTCCATGTTTTTGGACAACCGATATTTCTGATATCATCGATATTTTATACCATGGATGGGACACATACAAAACTTTCACTGGAAGCTGAATTAAAATAAAATATTTTCATTTAGTGTGGACAAAACATAAACAAATAGAATAACAATGTTGGAGAGTATAGTGTATAAAATGGTAATGCCGTTTGAGTCTGGGTAACTATTATTAGCACTCCACAAATCTCATTTTACACTTCTCACAAATGTTTTTTTCTTTCTAACTATAGAAAATTTAGAGTGAAAAATGAGATTTTTCGAGTGCCAATAACAATTCCTTGAGTCTAAAGGTTGTGGAAGATAAGTGCCAGAAATGCAAAAGCTCGTTTTTGGGACTTGTTTTTTTGAGCAAGACCCTCATACGCCGACCACTTGTGTACTTAGTCGAACTACTGCGTCGAATGATTAGTTGAACAAATTACTCTTATAATCTTACAAACACGAAATCATATTAATTGGAGTGGTGACATCTGTACGGTGCCAATCAAAAGTTTTTTACTTGCTCTGTAAATGTCACGAATGACGTTGATTATCGTTTGAATTGTAAACTGAAACGATGATATCATTCCGTCATTTACACTAAGGCTATCTTCAACCGAATAGTCTAGAAGGTCAGAGAATCGAAAATAGCCCTAAAATTGTCTCCAACTTAAACTTAAATGCCTTTTCATTAGTTTTCCTAAAACTTAAATGCCTACTCTATGCTATTTTTAGCCCAAAGATGTTCAACAAGATCTTGTTGTAGGTACTTATTTATGGTACGAGAACGTATCATTCTATAGCAAGAGTATTAAGGCATGTAGACTCAAACATACCGTGGGTTTCATCCATCGAATCAGCTGGGGAGTCATAGGCCATCATTCAGAGTGCAACAATAACTTCTAATGAGGTGAGAAACCAGGGCGGCCTACTTTGTCCCGCTTTTGTTGAAAGTATGGATTGACCTGCTGGACATCACGAAGTAAACGCTCGAAGACATGACGCCTCATCCGGAAGCGACGTCTGAAATCCTCTTCTGTGTACACCGAGTTGGGGTTGAAGTAGTTGTTCATCAGATTGGCATGCGTCATCGCTCTGTTTCGTGGTTTGTAAAAGCGACCAGCAACAGAGCCACCACATTGAGGTTGTTCCTGAGTTGGCTGACACACCATGGCCACAGCCATGGCTGCTACTCTGTTTTGTGTGTTGCGCCATGCTTCATCTTATTCATCAGACTCCTCATCTTCTCGTCTCATCTAGCCCATTTTTCTTCCAATTTGGAATTAGATGAGGACCCCTGGTTTCCAAAGTTGGAATTTGAAGATGATCCAAAGTTGGAATTCATTGCAAATTTGAATTGAAAGAGATTGAATTCAAAAAAGTGTGAATTAGAACCCAATATCCACCCTATTTATAGCAAAAAAAAAAAAAAAAAAATACAAATCCAACGGCTAGCTAACATCACTTAGCCATTGGATTTGAATTTAAGTTTTAGTTTTTAAATAATAAATTATGTTTGGCCCTCGGTTGGAAACGGTTTTTTGTGATAGGGCTAAAACGAGTCATATGGCCCTTTAGCCCTCCGTTGGAGATGGTAAGAAATATGACCCTGCACTGTTCATTAAAATATTAATTTCTTGGAGGACCAGAGGGCTAAAACGAACCCTCTAATCAGCCTTCGGTTAGAGATAGCCTAAGTGAAAAGTAAGGGTTTGAATTCAAAATACAATGTGTTTAAAAGAAAAGCTATAAACTCAAGAGCAGTTTCTTCCTCAAGTTTAATTTGGAATATGCAAGTGTCTATGAAGTATTGTCGAGGAATTCATGTGTCTTTTCTATTCTAGTGCGTCAAAAAATTCCAAAGCGGAGACATGTTCCTAAAATTAAGATATCTATCAATCACGCCCTTAAGGAAGATATAATTACGGTTTAAGGGTGCCACTTGCAAAGAAACACATCCATCAGTTGAATGACACATAAGTAGAAATACATGTATGGTGCGTGGATATTATTCTAACCATCAGGATTGACCATGTAGCTAGGATCAGAGAAGCATGCGCAGTATTAATTAGAGTCTACAACTTTCTTATTTTGTCCAAGAATATCTATCAACTTTCAAAGTCATGGCTTGTTAAATTCTAAGATCAATCAGGTTTTCACTCATAAGTCTTTTCACATCTCTGGCTTTCTTGGAAAGTGACCAAAATGAAAAGGAAAAAAAGGAGCTTTGAAGAATCAAAATTCATAATTTGGCAGACTAATTTGTCGTCATGTTTATGAAAGACTAGTCACTTATACACAATGTAATTCAAAAAGATAAAAAGAAAAATGAAATCGGTTAACGTTCAATTTTTGTTTGTTTTGTTTTTGTATTTTATACAAGTAATATTGAAGGAGGAGACTCAAACTTAAGACTTCAGCCTTCAGGTGCATTGATAAATACTCTTAATTAACCACTTAAGCTACACGTCTCTTGTTCAGTTTCAATATAATTTTCTTTTTACACAAGCGATATTGAGGAAACATAAATCAAATTTAAAACTTAGGTGCATAAATAAATCTTCTTGAGTACTTGAGTTACACACCCTCGCTTAATTTCAATTTGATTAGACAACGTCATCAAAAATGACTAAACCAAGGCTCAAGAACATCGAACCAACTCAAGGAATCCACACAACCCCGCTCTCGTTCATTAATTTAGGCCTGATCATAGCCATAGGACCAAAATGCCTTCACTTGGTTTGTGATTTTTGGCATTCAGACTAATTATGTTTCCATATCAACAATAATGCAGAAGTGCTGCTCAAGTTAAATCAATCACTGAAATATAAAAGAGAAAACAAAAACTACAGAAGAGTGTGGGTGCAAGCAAGTCCGGCTCCCATATTTGTCATGAAACAATTCACCAGCTGGCGGCCATTGACCAACCAGTGGCGACTTACATTGGGTAGCGCTACCTCCAGATATGTTGGCGGCTTGACTTTTAGTTTTGAGTGGAACTAACGTGTCGTGTAAGCGAATTTATTCGAACAAAAGTCGGCTTGTCGCATTATTAAGAGCATGTATCAATGCACCGACTTCTTTAGTATAAATTTTCTCCATTTTAGTATCGCTTGTATAATAAAAACTTACTTGAGCAAACTCAATTAATTTTAGCTTTAGGGATTTGTCTAAGTGGTGAGAGGATTATAAAAGTGTCAGATTCAAATCCATCCAAGGAACCAAAAAAATGAAAAGAAAAAAAAATGGAATTCAATTAAAACTCCCAAAGGTATGCATCTCCGTCCAAGTTCAATTCACACATACATGCCTGACTCAGGCTGAACAAGATTGAAGTTGAGTACAAGCTGGTCTTGTATAACCTATAAATTACAAATTAAAAATTATAGTAAAAATATGAACAAGACATGTTCATGGTACATTCAATTTGGGTTGGAGAAAGCCACAGGCAAAAAACTGCAAACTAATACAACTATACTGCATGAGCCTAATCATGGACTATTTAATAACAAATGCCTTGAAGAATTAGGTGCCTTGTTGCTCCTATGGCTTGGACCCGAAGGTGGGATAGGACGCTTAGAAAGAACCACATGATGAAAAACAGCCACTAGCCTCTCCCGCAAATCTAACAGCACCAGCCGAGGCACAGCTGCAGGCGTCTCCGAAGCGCCTTGGCTTTTATAATCCGGTACATTTGGTGTCGGGTAGGTTCGAGTTCCAGATGCTATGGATGCCAAAACTAAGAGAACTATTAATATGATGTTTAAGAAGAAAGAAAAGGGTTTCCGACCGACGGAGTGCACGATAGCCATCATCTAGGGTTTTGGTAGTGACCTGAGTAGCATGCTATATATGGTGGCTTTTACATGCATGGAATGGCAGCAACTAAATGATATCGTACATAATTTGATTTATTAGATAGACGTTAGCAGAGAATATAAATGATGACAACTTTGGAAAATTTAGAAAAGTAACATAAACTAATTCATCGGCGACGTTTTCTCTCCATGATAGTTCATGTTCTTGTTGTAACTTTTGACACTAAATTTAGCCTATATATATATAAGCTCATCTTTCACAATAATATACTAGTCGATGTGCATTTCTTTTTCATGATTTTGTCATTGATAAGATTTCAGCATCCTGCTACCATCATTTCGGTTTTGAAATTAGCTCCCACTATTTTTCACGAGAAAGGTAAATGCAATAGTTTTGCTGATAGATTGAGCTCCACGTTTCGTGAAAGCAAGCTCTTAGAATATCACTTTTGAAAAAAGTTGCTAAGTGGCTATCCTCCTATTACATACTTTTTTGAGTACCCATCCTTCTTTTTGTTGTTTCATATATGGTAGGGACAAATATTACAAATTGATTTGATTCGTAATTGAAGTGCACGTTTGAAGATAGAAGTGCTTTTGGGATGAGTTGATGAGAGGCTTTTTTGAAACCAATAATTCAAGAAAGAGGGCTGATTTAACAAAGAATATTTCATGCATCACATGCGTTTGGAGATTAGAATGCAACCAATCGAAGCACTAGCGGCAACAACTAACCAACCCAACTACCCAAAACCATCGATCAGATCTTATCCAGTGGACAAGCTTTAGGAGACTTTTTAATCAAAAGGGTTGAAATTGTATGATGTAATAATTAAGTGACAAATTTGGAAATTTCTAACGAGTTATTTCCAAAACCTTGTAGAATAAATAAATCAAAACCGAAGAGTATGTCAACTGGCCTATTAGCTCAGCTGGTTAGAGCGTCGTGCTAATAACGCGAAGGTCACAGGTTCGAGACCTGTATGGGCCACTCTTTTCCTAAATTATAATGTATTTTTTTTCAATGAAGTTCGTTCTTTTTCTTTCTCTCCGTCTGGATTTGCCTTTCAGAAGCGAGCTACGTTTTTAGCTTCTGCTCGGTGCTCTATGATTTTGAGGTTGTACTTTCAGGTTACCGTCGTTGCGTTTCAGTAATATTTCTCCGGCATGGAGAGCAAAGTCGAATCAGCTATTCATTCGGGATTTGACAAGCACAGCTCTTCGGGGGTTGCCATTTTTTCTCTTGACTTTTAGAGTTGTTGGTACAGTTTTTTGGGGTAACGAACAATCAGGGAATAGTCGCTGAAAACCTCGATTCGTTCGTTACCCCCATTGAAGAGTTTGATCTGCTGAATTCTCTGCAAGGAAGAACAAGAGCTAACGTGTATTACAAACATACATGTGCTTGTTACACTGATACAACATAAATTTAATAACCTAAGACTTAAACACTGACTGACACACTCTAAATTCTTAATTTAACCTCCATACATTGCTTCCCGGGTAAAACACCGGCTTACCAACACAGGGTTCGTGGGAGTCGGATCTTCTATCCAGGGTTTATCAATGATCTCCAAAAGAAGACGTTGGTTGATTCACTCTTTCTTTAGGCCTAACAGCCGAACTGCATTTTATTCCTTATCAACAAAGCTGGTCACAAGTGAGCTCGTCAAAATGGATGGCAGAAAGCTCACATAACCTGGATAGGATATGGGCGAGGAACCCAGCATTACAACTGAAGGGGGTATCCGCGGAGAAATGTGGAATCCACACCAGACTCCCGCTGCAACGCCACCCTCCCAGTCCGCGCAACCTTCAAGGAGGAAAAACAATGTTAAGATATGAGGACCAAAGCTCATGTGGAAACCTGAAATTTGTATGCTAGTTAATTGTTCAGTACAAGACCAATAAAAGAATGAGAAGACAGACCTCGCAAATCCCATAGGGCTCTAGTAACTTCTGCAGTGCAACCATCTTATTTAAATCACCAGTCAGCTGAAAACAATCATGAGTAGATCGTATTAGTAAGATTAGCGATAACCGCATTCATTAGTACAACTAAATACAGGAACCACGGTGACATTGATCCTGTTTGGAGGTAGAACTTCTCAACAGATACCATAAGCCTAGTAACTTCACAAGGATGCGGTGTCTAAAAATGACAGAAACTCACAAATTCTTGTTCTGTATTTGAGAATCCATCAATGGAATCGCCATCTATTGCTATTAGTCTTTCTCAGGGAGATGAATATTGGTTCAAATTCCAAGGACCAAAAGAAAGCAAGAATAACTATCCTGCTTCTAGATTATTTGTGAAAGTATACAAATAATAGGAGTGCGGGAAAAAGCCTCAACCTCAAGGGTAATTGTATGATCGGATACATCAACAGCTTTGGCACGGAAAATGCTGGCAATATCAAGAACATCCCTTCTAGCAGTAGTGTTCACAGCAATCTTTATCAACATCAACTCTCGCTCAGCAAATGGTAAGTGACTAATATCCCGAACCTGGAGGAACAACCAGCGTTATCATCCATGAAGGCATGAACAAATCTTATTTTGTGATTAACCTTGGAAAAACTTCATCATCTCAAAATGAACACTCATTAACTCATCAATGTTGAATTCGGTAAGGATCTTATTATCAAGGCTGCCTATTATCGATGACTGACAGATAACTGAGGAGCAGATTTTGATTAATCGAAATCTGGAGAGGGGAAAAAAAAGATCCTGGGTCATAGAACTACTTTATATTTAGTCATCAACCCCAACCTACCACATCGACCAGATTGCGACCGAAACAATGGCATTGGACTTGCAAAAAGTGATTAGAATCGGAAATGCAGAGTTTCAAGTGTGTACGAGCTTTTCAATACATTTTTTAATTTGCATATTTGAACATTGCAACCCTCACCTCATGAAGATCTATCAACTTGTGGAGTTGCTGAACCAACTTGGATATTGAATCATCTGTACCGGGAACAACTGTTGTAATGCGAGAAAGCCCCTCCATTTCAGCGGGCCCCACAGCTAGGCTCTAGAAGTGTGAAATGAAATCCAATAATCACATGAGCAAAGGTCCAAGAAAACCAAACATAAAAAGTGAGCGCAGGTCAGAATCAACAAACCTGAATGTTATAACCTCTTCGGGACAGGACTCCAGTAACTGTGTTTAGAACTCCAGGATAGTCATTTACAATCATAGATAAAGTGTGTGATCGAACGCCACTTGACTGCATATTAGAATGAACGGCACAGGTTAGGTTTCAACGGCATTGGTTTGTAGAGTAAAGCAAACATGAATAAAGAGTACTTCCTAAGCAGATACATCGATTTTTCCACCTTGTACGTCTCATACAAGGCAATATTTAGACTTAAGTGAAACACAATGTGATTTGATTATTGTAAAGAAACATACATCTTCGTCGTAGAGAACACCCCAATGCGCATCAAGAACTTTATTCAAACGGAAGTCATCATAGGGCTCCACAGGATAAACGTCACCCTGCAATAATGAAATGAGGTTCGCTTATGTTCAATCCAAAATGGCAAAGGCAAGAGTAAAAGTTGTGCACATACATGTTATCATCGTAAATGATAACAGTTAATGATTTTACATACCCTTGAGGCAGTACCAGCATCACCATTGAGCGTACGATTTGCTTTCACTGCAAGAGCACCATCAGACGTGGACTTCTCAAGATCTGGATAAGAATCTGCAGAAAATCTCCAGAAAGGAGCTGTTGCACCCATCTTTTCTCGTCTCAAAGCAATCTGTCGGACGAGTCAAATTGAACGCCTCACTTAGATGATACTTGCATAACGTATAAAAGATTGAAGGGAAAAAAAAAGTGCGTCAACATCTAGACGGGTTACATGACCACCCTAACTTAATTTGCATCGTTGATTGCAAGTTCAAAATGCATTTTGGGAGAACATATGCAACAGAGAAATCAAGAATTATGGGATACAAGAACAAAGGAACCGGTTGACAAATATCATCCATTACTCATCAATGCTAGTGCACAACGATGTTCAACTCCCATAGAAAATTGTCTTAGCATCTCCATGCCAACAATAAGTATCTTCCTGATTGGGAATACTATTTCAAATTGTTAGTTGTGAACATCTTGACAGTTCAAGTTCTTTGGCCACTCATGAACTGTTTAATTATTGGATATCCTACACATATGACTCGTTGCATGCGTTGTTTAAGATGGTTGCAGCCATTAACACATGCAAAAATGGACATTTTTGTACATGCATAAACATCAGAATGCAAAATATAGAACTTGCCTTTCCAGTTCTAGCAAGTTCTTTGATTCCAAACTTGCTTAAGTTTCTTTGAACAGCAACCACCTTCCCAGGGTCCCCAGTAACCTGAGATGAACTGATTTTGTAAGCATAGATGGATTTGGTACCAATATGACTATAAGAGGCCATAAAGGAAATTGCAAGTTGGAACACTCTTTGTATAGCAAGAGGATATTGGCTAAAGCCACTTATAAAATTTCCAAGATTTACAAATGTAAGTTGAGCAAACTAAACCACTAAACGACACCATATGCTCATGGAGTAGGTTAAATCACATTATAAACAAAATTCATGAACCGCTGCACTGTTTTTATCAGAGAAAGTAAGAAAACAAATAAACAATATAATTGCTTTTTACCACAATCAACAAGAACTAGTGTATTCTCTTGTAGTATAACAAACTGCAATGATTTTTGCCTCATTAATCAGAATGTATCCTCCACATAAATTTTCAACAAACTAATCATCTGTAAGTTTTTGGGCACCTGGGCACTAAGATATAAACTGGAACATGCATTAAGTATAAGTGTTAAAATGAACACATCCAAGCGGAGAGTCATACGCTCATAGCAACGAACTGCAACAACTAAAGGAGGCATAAGCATTAAAATTCACCTCAACTGTCAGTGACTGTTCAGAGATATCAACAATTTTTGCTCTGAAGATGTCCACTAACCACATTATCTGAAAATCAGAGCGCACAAACAAGATCAGGTAAAATGACAACTAATGATAAAAGAGCATCTTAATCAGTGTTGATAACCATCAAATGAGAAGTTAACTCCGGTTTAATTCGAAGAATTATCACCTACAACAAGTATACAATAGAATTCAACCCAAGATGTATAAAAAATCAACATGTTCAGTGGCAAAAATTACATTTTGGCATAATCTATAGAGAATTATACGCGATTTATTAAAACCACATATTATTGACGATTATTCTTAGGGGTAGATCATTTAGACGTATCAAAAGGAAGAGGTCTATCCAAATATTGGTTGGATGATCCAAAAATTTACCTCTGCACGGGTACTTGGATCTGCATCAAGTTTGATAAGCATCAGTTCACGTTCTACTTGTTGCTCCCTTGAGATGTCTTCGACCTGATAAAGCAGAATTATAAGTGAAGATAATGAAGAAACTACCAAAAGGTTTTACACGAAATGCTAAAGACGTCCACTAACGTTTATCACGTTCACCAACTTGTTGAGCTGTTCAACAACCTGCCGCAACACCTTTTCAGTTCCAGACACAACTATGGTAAAGAGAGCCTTGTCCTTGTTCAAACCAACAGCAAGAGACTCGATATTGTAACCTCTCCTGGCGAAAACCCCTGCTATTCGGTTTATGATTCCACTCTCATCCCCAACAAACACTGAAATAGTATGGCGTTTCACCCTGAAATGATTATAGAATCAGAATTGAAAACTTGAAATCACCCCGAAGTCTTTCCAGATAAAAAATTCCTTGCACTTTCATGACAAAAATGGAAAATAGTCTTCCAGGCCCATGACCTGGGATTCCGAATCATCGCTACAAAAGCTTTTGAAATGATGAACTAATTATGCCTCATTGACACAGCCATCGCCTATATCTTTTACTTTTGCTACACTTGCCATGAAAGCATAACTCCCACATCAGTTTTTCACTTCCTTGGTACACTGAGAGCACGAATACTTTATAGTTTGGTCGTGTATCTTGTATCCGATACTTCATCGGATACAATACTGCTTGTATACTCCGGATTCTCGCCGGATACATGTACTCGGCTTTTAGGATACCGTTACACATTCAAATGAGAAATTAAGAGGAGAATTTAATAGGAAACAAATATTTAGTTGAAAGTTGATGAATACAAAGAGCTTGCCTCTAATTGAAACAAGGAATATAACTCCCACACTTGAATGAACTTGAATTTGAATGTTTTCATGTTAAAATATGTTTCAAATTATATATTTTTATTATCGTATTCATGACGTATAGTATTTTCGTTTTTAAAGATTTTACGTATCACCATATTATGTTGTATCCTTATCCATGCTTCAAAGTTACACTCTTTTTAACCAAAGTTCAAAATTTGAACAGTAAATGGTCACCATCAAAGTCGATTTACCCGAACTTAAAAAGAAAAAAAGATTGGTTGGAACAATTAAATTATCAAAACCAATTACCAAATGATGAAAACAAAATTTATGTTACTCGCTAAATATTAATAAATAGAGACAAAAATAACAATGTTAAAACAGTTCTATGCAAAAGCACTTAATCCAGCGGCTGAAATAACAAAAACCCCACAAATATTCAGCTCAACCCAAGAAACAAAGCAAGTAAATTTCAACCAAAAAGTGCACAAAATTACCAAAAAATGAAAGCTTTATTGCATGCAAAGCAAACCCAGAAAGAGTCGAAACGTAAATTAGAGGGGAAAAAAAGCAAATTTAATCACGAAAAATACTCACTTAGAAGTCAATGAAGGCACAGAATCACTGACAGAAACAGCATTGCCAGTGCTAGCAGAGACCACCAGCTTCTTCAGCTCGGAACTCTTCCATACGAGCGGCCGCTGGCGGCCAAGATCGAAGCTTGTGGAAAACCCATGCCGGAAATCTTCTGGGAAACTCGGTTTCTGGGCCACCAGTGAAGTGGAGAATGGTGATGACACAGCCGCCATTGGTGGGTTGTTTGGAGAGAGGGACTCGACAGTGTCTTATGAAGAGAGAGAAGCGGAAGGAGCGACCAGAGATATTAAAGAAAGAAGACCTCGGGGCCCATTTGGCAAATTTTGGCACGTGAGAGATTCTGAATCTCTTTGATGAACGGTGACTGTTGATGCGAATCGACGATGGCCTTTCGCCACGTGAGATTCTGAATCTCTTTGATGAACGGTTGTTGATGCAAATCAACGACGGCATTTCGCCACACAATGATCAAACGTGTTTCATGAAAACCTAAACATAATTAGCAATTGGACTAATCATTTTTTTTTACTAAAACATTGTGGACTAATCTGTGTAACTTCTTTTCTGGTATATTACAAAATATCTACTTCATTAAAATTGCACAAACACAAGAGCGTGCTCTAGTATCTTTGATCTCTCAAAGAAAAAAAAAAGAAAAAAATCATGGAAACGATAGTACTTGCACTCAACCAGGAAAAGAGTACAAAAGAGTGGCAAAAGCCGACTTACGTTTGGTTACAATCTTCGAAGAGTAGATCAAGAATAGATCTTGAAGGAGAGTCCATTCAAATGCAAGGAGATTGGACTGTGAGGCTGTAACGGGCAAGGCGGTGGGTTACACCGTTAACTAGGCAGCAAACATAAGTATAACTGATCTCAGTGATCAAGGGAAGCAACGATTTCATATACTCCATAATTTGTTCAATGGAAGACGAATTGGTAAGAGGATAGTTTAAAACTCCAATAATTTAAAGTGAATCACTCTCGATATAAAGTTTTTGAAAGCCCTAGCTACCGCTCAAATACGCTTTCATGAAATGCCAATGAAGTCATTGAAATTCTTTGAATGCCTTTAGGAAGCAACATGCCTGTATCTATTTTAGAAAGTGGCTTAGTACTTATTTTGACCAATTATCTTATAACTTGGACAGGAAAATGTTAGACAAAAACTGAGAAAGTTGGAGACTCGACAACGCAATTCTTACGCGAAGTTATATTGGTGTTGTGAAGTCGTAGAAATGCCTTTAAAGAAGGGCTTACTTATTTGACCTAGGATGCTTTTTCACAAAAAAATTTTGTAAAAAATAATGGAGGTGGTACATTCACACTACATAAATCAGTCCTTATTGTTGATAAATTGCCAATAAACACCTTGGGGCGGTATTTATTAATGTAAATAAATACCCCGATAAACTGAAAAAATATGTGTGTATGTATTACACAAATGTGTCACATATAAAAACAGAAGTTTTCCAAAAATGACTAATCATAAATTTGACTATTTGAGTGCTACACATCATCAACAACAATAATGTATTATCTCACTAAGTGATGTCGGCTTTATAATAAAAAAACAAAAATAATATATATATGTACACACACAGGAACACGATAAAAAAAGAAAGAAAAGAAAAAATAACAAAATGGATTATTGATGGAACAATTGGAGACAGATTTAGGGCACCACATAGGCGGGGGAGTGTATAGACACCGAGAAGATCACGTAAGCAATCCCGGTACAAAAAATAATGGTGAGCACCCACCCACATACGAACTTGAACAGGAGCTTCCAGTTAACATTCTGAGGGGAAAAAAAACGAAAATATTAAGGGTCTGACTGTCAAGTTTTTTCTAAAACTTATCGTTAAAATGTTCTTGGAATGTGATGAGAGAAACGAATTTGTATTTCGAAGATAGGAGAAAATCTCACCCGAGCGTCGTCTGCGACCCCAACTCCTACTAACGATCCAACAAAAACATGAACACTTGAAACCGGAAGCTTAATCTTATGAACCAGAATCATTGCTGCCACAGTGGACAGTTGTGCTGCTAAGCCTCTTGAGTTGCTTACATAAGTGAGCTTCCCACCTAGGCACTGTGTCAGCCTCCTGCCACAGATCAAGAAACCAACTGCTGCACCAAATCCGCCAATCGCCTTAAACCACCAGTTCACATGGATGGATTCCTACAAGAATCTCATATTGATTGGTCATGACGATAAGATATGGAAAATAGAGGTAGACACGTGATTGTATACAGTCGTTAACTCACCACAGATTCACCATTTCCGGAGTATTTCACTCTGTGTTGAAATACATCAAGAATAGCTCCATATGGACTCACAATGGCAGCTACTTCATTAGCAGATTGAATAAGCCTGCAATGCTATGTGTCAATATCTTCACTATACGTTTTATCAAACGAATTTCTGTTTTTATGGCAGAAATGAACTTACGCGAAGATACACGAAGCTATAATCTGTGGGAAAATGAACAAGCCTTCAACATCATCATATTTTTCGGCTAGAGCATGGCGAACAAGGGTCTGTCTGTCATACTCGTTCGCCTATTCAATTACATAAGCACAAGGTGTTAACTTAATATAAGGTAATGTGACCGAACATTCAGGCAAGTTCAAAATACATATATAGGACTCACATGAGAAAAAGCTGATTTGGATGAGCCTCTTATGAACCGAAGGGCCTTCTCAACCGGTGTTGTTTTGTCAATCTTGTGAAAGTGCCTTGATTGACCCTGGTTTGGCGAAGACTCAAGCAACTGCCTAAATGACCTAGATTTCTCCGTGTTAGACTGATCTTCGGAAACTGAGTGACTATGAGCAGGTGCAGGTTCGGGTTCAGGTTCCTTTATTGAGTCCGGTGAAGCCCAGCTCCTCTCATCCTCTTCTTCGTACACGGTATCAAGGACTCTCATCTGCATGAAATCTTTCAAGGCTTCTTCAAACTGCGCTTCGTCATCCAAAGATTTTGTACTAATGCATGTTTGTTCTTGGCTTTCGATGCACTTTTGGTCTATGGATTTAGACATGTTTCTCTTATTGGTCTTGTAATTTTTGTCTACATTGACTTTCTTCATGGCCAAAGGAATCACCAAACCCTGTTTAGTAGAGATCCCAATTAAGGTTGAACATAAATATGGGCAAGGAAGGTTTAAAAAAAAAAAAAAAAATCTTATTTTGTTACAAATGTTACCAAAGATAATAGTGCTCCAGTCATGGCGGCCGTGGCAACTGCAGCAATGGTAACCCAACTGTGAACTGCTGTTATAGACGGAATGACCTGCCATATGGACAACAAAGAAGGAAGATATTGATGCAGATAAAGGTGTTGGAGAAAAAATCTCACATCGGAAAATCGACAAGTAAAATGTAATACATAATAATGTTCTACTACTAATTGCACTCGAGGAAATTTACCTGAAACATGAGAAAGAGGCAAAGCAGTCCAGCAGATATTCCATAGGCAAATGGGAGAAAAACAAGAACCCATTTTTCTGCATTTTCACGGCGAAGCAGAGAAACCTTCATTACGCTGAAGAGGAAGAGTGCACATGCGAAGGCAATGAGTGGAGCCACAGTCCATTCAAGAAATATCCAAAGAATTCCTCCGCCTTTGAAATTGTGATTTGCGTTCTGTATTTCACAATTGCTCGAGAGTAAGAAACGAAAGAATTATAGCGAAAAGACAAGGCAATGTTGAGTTACCGAAAAGAAGTGAAATCATTTTCATTTTTCAATCTCTTGTAAAGTTTTCGCGTGCAACATCCTAATTAAGCAATTGAATCTGTGTACCTCCTTAATTACCTTATTCCACAAGGGTATGTAGCTAAAACCTTCAGTAACAAGTATAGTTCCCAATAGGGCACCTTGCATCGATTGCTGCGGTGAGACTGGCAGCTGCAAATATGTAGCCAAAGCAAGCCAAATTGCTGTCCAAAAATTACAGGCATGAGAAAATTAACATACAAAAAATGGCATACAGCAACATGCTAGTGTTGTAGTATACCTGCAGTGATGAGAACAACTACCATACTCCACATCAAGAAACCTTCACTTGGTTGATTTTCCTTGAGAAACTGGGAATATAGAAAACTCTATTAGCTAATTATACGTTACAGTTCTTTTACAAGAACGGTTAACTACTTTTTTTCAGTTAAGTTTATTGACAACATATTGACAATCATATCGTCGCATGTCGACGACTATAAGGTCAGAAGTTTCAACACTATCAATAATATGAATGAAATACACAATTTCAAAAGTGCAGTTAATCGCGTTGTAGAAAAATTCATATTATAGCGACCAATTTCTTTGGAGGTAAAATAGAATTGAATTGGAGGAACATAGAGTGTTTTAATCCATACATCAGAAAACAAGTCATTCACACAACTGCCGCAACTTGCAAAGGCTGCTCCAGGAACGTAGATCACACAAGCCACAACAAATGCCTTTAGAAGTGTCAAACTCCCCGACCCAATTGGTGTCGAAAACTGATAAACATCAAACAAGCAAAAAACAAATTTCAGATGCTATAAAATGGGCCATCAAATATCTATGAACATGAAAATGTGCAAACAATGCGAGTAGCCAATAGCTATGAACATGAACCCTAATAAAAAAACACAAACCGGAGCCGGAAGATTGTTTCCACCAGTCAAAAAAGCCGCTTCAATTGCAGCAACAGCTCCAAATATTGGTATCCATCTATAGGTCTCCTTCCACTGCCTCACAACATTGACGGCTATATCAACCGGACCACTATCGTTCCCCGATGACATTTTTTCGTCTGTCCGAGTTTCGATTAGTAAGAATTATGCCATGGAGAGGGATGGTAATATCATATAGGTTAGTGATCGATACTGTTAGTGACATTGGATTAATCTCCAGAGTGCATAGGTTGTGCTGTTTTTTCTTATGTTGTGTAGTGTTTCTTGTTTCGGTGGGAATTCTTTTGACTTGGACGTGTGTGTTGTTCTCCTTGTCATTCGCTGGGAAACGGCTAGGCACATTTTAGTTTTAGGCCACAGCATCTTTGACACTTTCATATCAGCTACCTGGAAATTATTCTGTTATGTCGGTTAAAATTGGTAGGAAAAAACTTGTCCAATTCTTTTCGTATTGTTATTGTGATTAGTCCGTAAAAAAAAGGATTATTATACAAAATGGTCCCTGAGATTTGCATGATCAATAGAAATGGTCTCTGAGATTATCCAGCATCTATGATTTTGGTCCTTCCGTTAAAAACTCT